GCTTGCGGCGCCGCCGCCCCCGCCGGGCCATGGCGCAGGGCGCGGGGCTGCGCCAGAAGAGAAGCGTCGCTCGGCGGGCACCTACCTGGGCGTGGTCGGTGTGCAGCTGCTGGCGCAACGGGAGCGCGCCAAGGACGCAGGCCGCAGCGTCAGCAGAAGCAACAACAGGTTGGTGGGAGACAGTGATATTATAAAATAATAATAATAAATAACATAAAAATATATTAACATAACAGAATTACTATTTAACATTTGAAAATAAATATTATTGATGAATAAAAAAAATTCGCAAATAAAGTAAAAAAATAATAGAAGAAAAAAAAAATCAAGGATAAAAAAAAGAAAAAAATCTTTAATTTAAACATAAAATTTAAACATATAAAAAAAAAAAGAAAATAAAAGTATCACAAAAAAAACAATTAAAACATATGGAGTATTTCAGCAATGGTAATAGCGGTAAGTGAACAGAGAGAGGATGATACGATGGTGGGGAGAGCGCGGAGGGGATGATGGACATTTGTTCTCTAAGAGCAAGAATTGAAGGCCTGACATTTTATGGCGCAATGAGACATGTGACTACTACTGAATAAGCAAGCCGTGAGTGGTGACACGACGTAGATAGGTAATTGCAACGGGCAGTGATTGCAATAATGAGATACGTCTATAGTGATTACCCAGGCGATTAATGGTGATAATCGATACAGAAGGTGACCATTAGGTGCAGTGGCAGGCGCATGAGAAAAATTAAACAGAGTAGAGGCGTTTTCGGCAAATAAAAGGCAAGCAATAGCCAAAGGATATCGTCAGAGACTCAGAAGGCGGCGAAGCAACAGTAGGTACTGAAGAGAGCGGCAGCGACTTGGATCAGAAAACGGTGCGAGGCTCCAAAGGCGGTTCGAGCGGGAGAAGAAGATAGGGAGTAGCAGCGGGAGTAGAAAAGCGGGAGTAAGAAGGAAGGAGCAGGAAGGCAAGAGCAGGAGGCGGGGAGTAGCAAAAGAGGGACATGAAGCTTTTATCACACACTTCCGTAGACACACTCTCTTCTAAGAAGAGTGAAATGTTGTGTATGTCAGAGGTGTTGCGGAGAATGTGTAAAAAAAGAAACGAAGCAGAATCAAATTTAAAAATTGTATATAAAAAAACAAAATTAAAAATTAATTTGGAAAAATTTTTAAAATAAAATTAAAAAACAAAAATAATTTAAATTAATTAAAAAAAAAAAAAAATTATAAAATCAAATATTAAAATTAGAAATGGAAAATTATTAGGATATTTATTATTAACTAATTTTTTTACTTGATTAAAGATTTATTTCGAATAAGGATAAATAATAAAAGATTAGGTCATCTTAAATAATATTTTAGGAGAAAAAATGATGAGGATTGATTCAAAAAATTAATAAGTATAAAATATTAAAAAACAATAAAAAAAAATAAAAATATATAAAATAGATTTTAATAAGAATATACAAAAAAAAATACGATAACTAAAAATTTAAAAATTAAAAATAAAATGAAAAAAATATCGAAAAACAAAAAAATTATTTTTAAGAGAGAAAATTAAAAAATTAAAAAATAAAATTTTCATAAAAATAATTCTAATAACAAATAAAAAAAAAAAAAATAACTTTTAATTAATAATTTAAAACAATTAAAGAAAAAAATATGAAAAAATATTATTTTACAAAAAAATTAAAAATTTACAATAAAATAAATTAATCAATACGAAAAATTTAAAAACATTAAAAATAAAAAAAATATTAAATATAAGAGAGCTTATTACAATTTCTTCTTTTATTTCTTTCTTACTTCTTATTCTTAAAATTATTATTATTTTATTATTTTATTCATATATTTGTATTATTATTATTATTAGTTTAGAAGTTATTATTTGAAGTATGGTTATTTTGATTTTATTAATTTTTTTCTAATTTTTCAATAATACATTGTCTACCAGGAGATACCTGGGTTGGTTGGTGGTGGCTGGTAGGGGCTGAGGGGTGGTCTTGGGGCTCCCGTTGACGCGAGTGCCGAAACGACGGCGCGTACGGTTGACGGCAGGGCGCGCGCTTCTTCTTCTGGGGGGCCCGCGCGCTGCGCTATTAAATTGTGCGGCGGGGGAGGGGCGGCCGCGGGCGTGGCGCCGGGGCGGTGGCAGCGGCGCGGGCAACAGTGTGGTCACGGGAACAGGGCGAGACGGCGAGGGATCGCAAACCGGGGCGCCGCCTCAGGTCGCGCCGCGGGCGCCCTGCATCGCACAATCCTGCTCTGGTTCACAACACACCCATACAGCAGACATATAACCTCTCTACGGCCTCTTACAGGCACCGTACTCTTTAATTTAGGACATACATTTTTCACTGCATTCTCTCTTAATTTCCATACAGTACCGATAAATTTAATATTTCTCTAAATAATTATCTTTTTAATCTTGCGAATTAAATACGAAGGTAGAATTGCATTTCCATCAACTTAATGTGTTTCAATTACGAAACATATCAGAAGCTAAATCTCTTATAGTTTTATAAGACTAAACAGTTGAAAAAAGTAGTCCTTTGAGAAAATTGAATTTCGAATTGTGAAGTGAAGCACGCAGAGCTTCTAAGTACATCTTCAACCCTCTATCAAAGCTCTCCTGCACAGCGTTGTTTACCGACAACAATCGCACTTACAAATCTTCGTCGCTATCGAATTCACATTAGCGATCCCAGGACATTTTTGCTCAACGTGTTAACCGAAACTACCCGGAAACGGAAGCGACCAGAAAGTTATACGATGTAATGTCAGCATTGTTCTTTTTTTTAAGATTGGGGGTGGACCCTCGTGAGCTTCACCAAGATAAGCGAATCGCGAAGCAAGAGGGTGGAGTGGTGAGATTCGATGGGGCAGGCAGCGTAAACGGAAAAAAGAATTAAAAGAAAATAAATAAATAAATAAATAATTTATAAAAAACAAAGGATGAGAAAAAAATTTTAATAATAATATTGTATTAAAAGGTCGGCTATGGGAGAGTGCAGGCGTAGAGAATGCACACAGCGCCAGAGAATATAAAGATTTAAAAAATATTATGATTTTA